TATCTAAGACACCCTTTTTGTCAGATCCAACAGATAAAGGATCATAGTAGAACATTAATATATAAGCTCCATGTACATAGATACAAACTTTTAAATTTAGGTCAGAAAAGATCTAGAAAAAATAATTTAAGCTATTTTATTTATAGTGGATTTTAAATCTATCATCTGTGAAACGGATATTCTATAGCGGTCAACCAACTCGTGATGGCGTCCGTAAAATTTACGAAGGGATTAAGTATAGTTGTTAAGTGGGGCGTCCGGTTGGAATATGACTGGTTCCCTATCTGTATCTTTATATTTTCTGCCAATATAGGCACACCTTCAGTATGAAGTCAACAATATCCGTTCACCAGTAGAATGTTATAAGTTAAAAGTATCCAATCACCAATAGAATATATATTGCGATGTACACTATATAGAATTGTCGGTATATCCCTACACCAATATCACACGCGTTCTTATTTATAAAATCTAAAAATAAGTCTATAAATAGCAAGAGTTTTGCAGTCCACACACAACCATGATAGCGGATATGTTCCTAATGTCGTAACTACAATCCCGTAAGGCGTTCCCTTTTCACGAATGTGACCTACCGAATTAGACTATTTACCGGGTTTGGACTAACATGAGCAACACGACGGGTGCCACATGTGGAGCAGGATCTGCTTACCCTTCCGGAGCACCTGAGATCACCCCCAGTTTTTGGTGGGGTGCGTGTTGCTTAGTCTTTAGTTTTCTATGTTGTGTTTTGTGTACTATTGTGTGTCTGTTGGTCTTTTTCTTTTTTAGCCATGGCGTTGTCAGTTTATTTTCGATTTATGAGTTTGAATGTACCTCTGATATCTTTAACAAGAGTTATACTGCCGGAACGGGAGAAGTCCAGGGATTACAATATTTTTCTACCTCAGTCAACCCTTAGGGTCGTACGAAGAAAATTCAATACTGAAATAAATTACAAACAATAACGATCATTAAAGTTGGCCATGTATGAATATACCTTACTGGTTTCTATTTTTGAGTACTTTTTCATCGGAAACCTGTATTTATACATCCAACCATACTGACGGATGAAATAATCTGTTTATACCATCTGGGGAAATACACTTAGTTTTTTTTCCCAAATCTCCCGATATTTAAATGTAAGATGATTTGAAGGAAAAGACAATTTGTAACTTCCAACTGTTATTTTATTGTAAAATGATGAAATATAATGACATATGCGGTTTTTTTATGATTATTTATATAGGAATATGATAGTTGTTTACCATTCGTTTGATGGGTTTGAGCTTTTGATTTTGCCATTTGATAAAGGACTTTCCGTTTTGAATTTTCCTTGGAGTTCGGTATTTTTGCTATTTTACTTTTTTTGTATGATAATGGAACAACTCTCTGTTTTTTTTTTTAATTCCAATAGCATTATAAATTTTTAGTCTAAAAGATAAGAGTACAAACAAGTCGCCTCGGAGACAGAAAAGACAATCTATTTGAGTAAAGTGATGTCTTTCTACAAGGTTAACTTGCAGGAGTAATACCACCATTGTTTTTCCCCCATTATTCTTTGTTAAACTGGCATTTTTCAAAACATTGTGCAGAAATTATCTTTGTTTCAATACATGGCATGAGTAAAGTTTTATCTTGCCCAGTACTACAGTAAAAAAAATTTCACATAACATTTCATTGCAAATAAGATAATAACCATCACCGGAAATAAACCAATCAAATGTTCACCCCTATTTTCCTTTTTGCAAGCTTTAGTAACCATGACACCTCAAGTTTCCAAAATATTTTGAAGAAACACAAAATAAAAAAAGAATGGTGCCTTGAAACACCCAAGACATAAGTTAATGACTCAGAATTTGTTTTCTCTAATGAAAAGCAGGGTTAACTTCCTACAACTGTCAAATTAAAGGGAATATCTTTTTTTCGACCCTTTTTCGTATGAAACCGGATGTGACGTACTATCATTTGGTGGTATTACACCTTGCAAACTAGATTTTTATATAACGACTCTGCCTGTCGGTCTCGTACCAAGCAGTATTTCTTCATATCTCTTTAACATGCTACCGTCCCGAATATACATGGAATATTTGAACTGGATAATGAAACTAACACTTCATAAATTTGATCATCTGGAACGATCACAGCGTAAGATTTGAAATCCAAGAATGTATAAGTACTTTGAATCTTGAGGAGCTACTGTGTAATGCAAAATATATTCGTCACCTACAGTTTGTTGCTATATTTTTATACGACCGCAAAAAATTTGCGTTCGTATATTGTTATCATGTCGTCGTCGTCAGAAGAAGAAGAAGACATTTGGTTTCCGGACAATATCTTTAGTATAAGTGAATGAATCTCTATGAAATTTAATCACAAGGTTCAATAGCACAAAGGGAAGGTGGGGATTGATTTTGGGGGTTATGGTACCAACAGTTAAGGAATTAGGGGCCAAAAAGGGGCCAAAAATAAGCATTTTTGTAACTTCCAAACATAACTTGTGTGTTAGTGTATTGATCTTTCTGACATTGTACCACAAGGTTCCATATCACAAAAGGAATGCTGGGATTGATTTTTTGGGTTATTGCCTCCAAATTTTAGGAATTAGGGGCCAAAAAGAGGCAAAAAACAAGCATTTTTCAAGTTTCATGACAATAACTTGTGTGTAAGTGTATGGATGTTTATGAAATTGTACTGCAAGGTTCCATATCACAAAGGGAAAGCTGGAATTGATTTTGGGGGTAATTGCCTCAAAGTTTTAGGAATTAGGGGCCAAAAAAGGGGAAAAAAACAAGCATTTTTCTAGTTTCATGACAGTAACTTGTGTGTAAGTGTATGGATCTTTCTGAAATTGTACTACAAGGTTCCATATCACAAAGGGAAAGCTGGAATTGAGTTTTGGTAATTGGTAATTGCCTCAAAACGTTTAGGAATAAGGGGCCAAAAATAAGCATTTTTCTAGATTCCAGACAATAACTTGTGTTCAAGTGTATGGATCTCTCTGAAATTGTACTGCAAGGTACAATAACACAAAGGGAAGGCTGGGATTGATTTTGGGGGTAATTGCCTCAAAATTTAAGGAATTAGGGGCAAAGAAGGGGCAAAAAACAAGCATTTTTCTAGTTTCATGACAATAACTTGTGTGTAAGTGTATGGATCTTTCTGAAATTGTACTACAAGGTTCCATATCACAAAGGGAAAGCTGGAATTGAGTTTGGGGGTAATTGCCCAAAACGTTTAGGAATAAGGACGCCAAAAATAAGCATTTTTCTAGATTCCAGACAATAACTTGTGTTCAAGTGTATGGATCTCTCTGAAATTGTACTGCAAGGTACCATAACACAAAGGGAAGGCTGGGATTGATTTTGGGGGTAATTGCCTAAAAATTTTAGGAATTAGGGGCAAAGAAGGGGCAAAAAACAAGCATTTTTCTAGGTTCAGGACAATAACTTGTGTGTAAGTGTATGGATCTTTATGAAATTGTACTACAAGGTTCCATATCACAAATGGAAAGCTGGGTTTGAGTTTGGGGGTAATTGCCCTAAACGTTTAGGAATTTGGGGCCAAAAAGGGGCCTAAAACAAGCATTTTTCTAGTTTCCATACAATTTCTTGTGTTCAAGTGTATGGATCTCTCTGAAATTGTACTGCAAGGTACCATACCACAAAGGGAAGGCTGGGATTACGTTTGGGGGTGATGAATCATAAGGGGGTTCAAAAAAAATTGGGGGAAGGATTTTTTTTCCTTTTTTTCCTTTTTTTTTTCCTTAAAAGTTTCCATTTTGAATTGGTTATTTCTTATTTATATATAAAAGCAAATAATAATGATATGGTTTGAATAGGTAAATTAAAAAAAATTAAGTTCTCAGACCACATTCATTCTGTGTCAGAAACCTATGCTGTGTCAAATATTTAATCACAATCCAAATTCAGTGCTGTATCAAGCTTGAATGTTGTGTCCATACTTGCCCCAACTGTTTAGGGTTCGACCTCTGCGGTCGTATCAAGCTGCGCCCAGCGGAGTATTTTATTTACAAATAATTTATATCTTACGATAAATTTACACCCAATTTATAAATTGTTATTTCATGTACTTACACTGGGTCGATACCACTTCTGGTGGACTGTATCATCAGCTCCGTAGTCATTGCTTCGGTACTGACATGATATAGTAACACACATTTCTAAAGTTTCCCCGTTGATAAATTAAGAAATTATTAAGAAACTTAGGTTCCAACTCCCTCAGGCAAAAATTACCTTGGATGAATTTGGATCCCATTTGGTCATATAAATGCTACGTTTTTGCGTAAATTACGAATGTACATCCCTGGTTTTCAAATATTGAAGTTTTAGCGTTCTCGGTGAAGGTAAATTCATAAAAGCCTTTAGAACGCATGAAATTTATAAAGTATTATTTTCATTTAGAAAACTTAAAACCGATAATATGCAAAACAAAAGATTACAAACGAATAAACTTTGCATATGTCGGTAATAAAAATTTGACATTTTACGACAGCTACATGTCATGTACACTTTATTGTTAACTCTTTCAAATTTGAGGAAAAAAAAAACTCTTGAGAGTTTAAAAGTGTTATAAAAGTAGCAACACTTATATTTTGATTCTTAAAAATAAACAAAAAGAGATGTTGGGTATACCTCAGTGGGATAGCAACACAACGACTTGTATTGTAGGAATGTGGTACAATGAAAATAACACTTTAGTAATTCGGTGCGTCCGAAGTGCTTTTCTGGATTTACCGTCCTCAGGAACGCTCAAATCCAAACATTCGAAAGCCAAGGATGTATCAATACTTGAATACTAGAGGAGCTAGTATCGTAGCCCTGACAACTGAGCTGATCATACTCTCAAAGACTAGTAGTCAACCAGCAGCGGTATAAACTAATATAACATAAAGCTTTGAAATAAAATATATTCGGTTTGTTATTTTATGTAACTTTTGAGTTGAGAACATTTTGATTAGTTATATTCTTTATTTGAACCAGGCAGACGATGGCATCTACAATTTTAATGTGTGATCCCTGTTCTAGACATAACAAATCATCTAATGGAATAAAGTATTGTACAGATTGTGAAGACTCTTTATGTACCGAGTGTACTTCTATGCACTGTGCTGTTCAACGTATTTCTCTTCACCACTTGGTTGATGTGTCTGTCATAGCTGGGAATGCGTTCAACATCAAGAAGAACTGCATTGAACATGAAGACTTGTCTAATGAGTTTTACTGTTCCGACCATAACTGTCTGGTATGTCAAATATGCATTGACAACAATCATCGTAACTGTGGTAAAATTCAAACAATAGATATCCCTGCTAAAGGATGTAGATCCTCATTAATGTTAGAAGATGTTACAAAAGACATTGCATCGTTACTCAAATCGACAAAGGAGTTGGTAGAAGAAAGTCAAAAGAATAAGACACGTGTAGGGCAAATTAAGGCAAAAGTTTTAAAAGAAATAGCAAAGTTCAGACACGATATCAATGATCACATTGATCAACTGGAAAGGAAACTTTTCTCTGAAGTGGATATCATAGACAAAAAGATATGCAAAAAGGTAGGCAATGCTCTCTGTGAGGCGAACGAGAGGCAAAATTTTGTTGAAAATGTATGGCAGCAAGTGGATTTTTATACTAAACATGGTTCAGAAAGTCAGTTATTCATCCTTTTAAATACACTTAAGTCGGATATCTCAAGACAAGCACAAGGTCTTCAAAACTTGATTCCATGTTTGGAATCGAACAATATCAGTTTCGAACCGTCGGATATGATTGCAGTAATAAAATCTCTTGGGTCCGTAAAAGAAATTTCTACCCCAAGTGCAGTGACTTCTAAACATTATGGACAAGTACAAGCACCAATAGAAGACAATCGTCAAAAGATGTCGACACAGTTTGGGTTCGAAAAGAAAGTTAATATACCATCAGGAAGAATCACCGGCATGGCAATAACTAACGATAATAGGTTAATCCTCTGCAATGATATTACCGATGAAAATAACATTTCAGCATGGACAGAAACAGGACAACACCTGCAATCTTTAACCATTCCTGATCGAAGAGTATTCGCCATAGCTATCATACCAGGAACAGATGAAGCGATGATAACGTTGCCTGGAGATGGATTAATTCAGTTTATCAACATCAACAGTTTTACAGAAGGAAAAGAAATACAGTTGTCAGTAGTATCTCCGCATGGTATTGCAGTTATAAGAGACAATTTGATTGTCGGTTCCAAAGATGGAAAAGTTTCTTTCATTGACAGAACAAGTGGAAAGTGTCAGAAGATTCTGAAAGTTTGTAAAGGTGTATTAACGGCACTCGTTCCTGATGTGGGCGATCAAGAAGATGAACGATTATATTGCTGTGAACATAATGGTGGGAACGCTGTTATTTGTTTAATATTGGATGGAACACGTATTTTCTCTTGCGTTATGAAAGAACCAGTAGCTTTAGCATTAGATTCTAAGGGATATGCTTATGTGACAGAATATAACTGTCATAATTTACATCGTCTATCTTCAAATGGGGAAGTAGATGATATACTTCTGAAGGAGACAGACGGGTTACATTGCCCATTAGCCGTTGTTTTCAACAAAACCTACAGCAAAATGTATATTTCAAATTTTTGGATCTATTAGCAATTTCAAGATATTCAATTCTAACTGAACAGACATTTCAATTCAGATGAAAACCATTAGGGACATCATTACACGTATTTCTTTTAATTATTCCTTAGAATAGAATTTATTAATAATAGTAACAGTGACAAGAAAACCAATAATGAAAATTATACGTTTGTTATTTGTACTTGCTTGCTATCAATCGTTCAATTTCTGTACGGTACAATGTTGAGCATAACATTCTTTGGTATTTGAATAAGCTGAGGAGATTTATTCCTTTCTACACGGACGATTTCTGCGGTCGGTTTATATATATATAAGTTTGCATATTTGACGTTTGATTGAAGAGAGTTGAGACAAAGAAGTTAGTCCTGTTTACTTTTTCTCAACCGACCGTCCATACCGCTACCCATCCTTCACATATACCCTATCCATGTCTCGGATAAATCTATGTTTTAGATTTCGGATTATTTGTATTTGATACACCGAATTTGTACTTACCATGTGAACTGAGCAACATGACGTGTGCCACTAGTGGAGAAGGATATGCTTACCCTTCTAGAGCATCTGAGACCACCCCATTTTTAGCTCACCTGGCCCGAAGGGCCAAGGGAGCTTTTCTCATCACTTGGCGTCCGTCGTCGTCGTCGTTAGCTTTTACAAAAATCTTCTCTGAAACCACTGGGCCAAATTTAACCAAACTTGGCCACAATCATCATTAGGGTATCTAGTTTTAAAAATGTGTCCGATGACCCCGTCAACCAACCAAGATGGCCGCCATTGCTAAAAATAGAACATAGGGGTAAAATGTAGATTTTGGCTTATATCTCTGAAACCAAAGCATTTAGAGTAAATCTGACATTGGTCAAACTGATTATCAGGTCAAGATCTATCTATCTTTCAGACAAATCTGACAACCCGTTGTTGGGTTGCTGCCCCTGAATTGGTAATTTTAAGGAAATTTTGCAGTTTTTGGTTATTATCTTGAATATTATTATAGATAGAGATAAACTGTAAACAGCAATAATGTTCAGCAAAGTAAGATCTACAAATAAGTCGCATGACCAAAATTGTCAGTCGACCCCTTTAGGAGTTATTGCCCTTTATAGTCAATTTTTAACAATTTTTCGTAAATATTTGTAATCTTTTACAATATTCTTCTTCTCTTAAATTACGGAGACAAATTTAACCATACTTGGCCTTAATCATTATTAGGGTATCTAGTTTAAAAAATTTGTCCGATGACCCCGCCTACCAACCATCATGGCCGACATGGTTAAAATAGAACATAGGGGTAAAATGCAGTTTCGGTTTATATCTCTAAAACTAAAGCATTTAGAGCAAATCTGACAGGTGGCAAAAATGTTCATCAGATTTAGATTATCTGCCCTGAAATTTTCAGACGAATTCGACAATCCGTTGTTGGGTTGCTGCCCCTGAGTTAGTAATTTTACAGAAATTTTGCAGTTTTTTGTTATCTTAGATATCATTATAATATCTAATATCTAATACTATTAATTATGATTTTAACCTTATTTTACATGATTTCCAAAGCATCAGTAAATACAGGTGAGCGACACAGGCTCTTGAGATCCTCTAGTTTTTGTTGGGTTCGTTTTCTCTGTTTTTAATGCACTATTCTGTGTCTTTTCGTCGTCTTTCGCTGATTTGCCATGGTGTCGTCAGTTTCCCTACGACTTGTGAGTTTTGAATGTCCCCTTTGGTATCGTCCGCCTCTTTTTTGCATGTCATATTAGATGATTCTGTAGTGAACGCACAATTATGTACTGTGTATGGTTTTATCTACAATATAAAGTAATTTGTAAACTGGAATTTTACAATAGAATATATATCATTTACATTCTATTTTGTTGAATTTATGTATCATAAAGTTATAAACAGAATAAGTGTTTTGATTCGCATATTTCAAAATGATTCGTAGCTGTACTAAAGCATGTCATTTTATTCTAAAAAGACGAACAATATTTTATAGTGTATGTATAATATAAACATATTTCATCATTAGCGAATTTTGTTCCATGCTCTAATGATATATTAGTCTCTTACAATTTTGCATGAAATGGCTCTCTAATTTGTATCTACATGTATACTGTAAACTAAAATAATTGTTGTAAAGTAAGATATTTAGAGATGAGATTATAATTTCAATAATTACTAAATTTGATTAAAATTAAATGCCAGAATTGACACACATGTTGTGTTCTGAGTACCAAGTTGTTTAGTAAATACAACTCAAAGAAGATCAAGAGTTAAGTCCGTTTCTATTGATTTTTTTATCTTGATCATTCAATGATCTAATGATATATAGTCTCTTATAATTCTGCATATAATGGCTCTCTAATTTGTATCTATACTGTAGAAATAAATAAATGCTGTACTGTAAGTTATTGAGAGATGAGACTCAAATAAATATAACAATTATTTAATATGGAATTAAAATGCCAGAATGGCCACACTATACATGTTTTGTCCGAAGTACCAAGATGTTAGTAAATACAACTCTTCCTGAACATCCATGATATGTTTGCCAATGGACATTTAGCAAACAACAATCAGTCCTTCATTTTGTCATTAAAGCATTGTATTTTAAACAAACTGATCGATATATGATGCTGAGCATGTTGCTATATTTTTTATGCCATTTAGTGCTTTCGAAAAAGGAGTCAGAAGATACCAAGTGGGAAATCAAAAATATAAGTCGTCGAAAAATACCATGGCAAAAACGAAAAACGACGAATAAACAAGCGCGTTTTCAAAACACTTAACAGAAAATTAAAGATTGGACAACACGAACCAAACCAAAAACCGAGGGTAATTTGAAGCGCTCCGACAGGATAAGCTGAGAATGTGGCTATTTTATTATGAATTAAATACTTTGGAAATCTATAAACCAGATATATGCACAACAAAATATTAAATTGATTAAACTTTGAATATGCCGATAATAAAAATTGTGACATTTAACGACTTCTACATGTGATCCTTACACGAAGCCCTTTTTTTTTTAATTTTCCTTCATCAGGAAAGCTCATACCTGAACAATTTTAAAAGCTTAGGATGTATAGATACTTGAAGAATTGTGAGCTATTTTACCAAAACGGACCTAAAACAAGAGCAAAATCCACCTATTATCAACTTTGCCTGAGAGAGTTGGAACTTTAGTTTCTTAATAATTTCTAAATTTATCAGCAAAGAATTTAAGAAAGGTATGTTATGAATCATGTCAGTATCGAAGCACTGACAACTGAGCTGATGAAACCCACGGGACTAGCTGTCCTTCAGCAACATTATTGACCAAGTGCAAGAAACGAAAATAACCCTTTATAAACTTAGTGCAGTCGAAATGCTTTTCTGGATTTACCTTCCTCAGAAACGCTCAAACCAAAACAGTTGAAAGCTAAGGATGTATAGATCCTTGAAAACTTGAAGAACTTTATGATCAAGAGGTACATAAAAAAGAATAGCGAAATCCACCTAAAGTCAAATTTATCGAAAGGAGTTTTAACCTTACTTTCTCATTAATTCATAAATTTATCAACGCAGATTTTTAAAAGATATGCTTTAAATCAAGTCAGTACCGAAGAACTGACTACTGAGCTGATGATTCCATCAAGGACTAGAAGTCAACAATCAAAATAGGTTTTAAAATCATAATCAAAAGGTCGACATAGTGCTAGGAAATCAGAATAACACTTTTTGTTCAGATTTGTTGCGTCCGAATTGCTTTTTATCTTGTTAAACAGTACTCAAATTTACAAATAGAGCTAGTGCAATATGAGAGTAGTTATTAATTTTGTAATACAACTATTATTAGAGGAGCTGTTGAGTATATGTAAGTGAGATAACAACCCAACAGCATGTATTTAAAGACAGGTTAGAATAACATGAACATTTGGAATACATTTTGCTTTGTATATTATCTCGTGTATCTATTTAGTTTAGATCATATTGATTAATCATTCTTTATTTTTCCTATGTAGATGATGGCATCTCAAATTGTAATTTTTGATCCCTGCACTTGAAAAAAATAAATCATCTGTTGCAATACATTTGTGTACAGATTGTGAAGACTCCTCTTCATAGTGTAAACATTTTCACTTCTTACCGATTTGTTGATTTGTTTGTCATAGCTTAGAATGTGTTCGACATAAAAATATAAAGACATGTCTTATAACTTTTACTGATCTTATCATCATTATGGTATGTCAGAAATGCATTGACAAAAATCATTGTAATCGTGGTAAAGTTCAAACAACAGATTCTTTGATAAAAAATGCAGACTGCCATTAATGTTAGAATATGTTACAAAAGGCATTTCTTGTATACATATATATAAAAGGCAACTGAGAACAACATTTAATTGTATATAAATGCAACACCTCTTTCATCTTTATTTTTGGTTTTCAAAAAGATGAATATTATTCGAAAAAAACATTTCGGGCTCACGGAAGACAATATCCTACTCTTTATTTCACTTTGTTGTCATCGCTGTAACAGGAATGTCAGCCGTTGATGGTATCGTTCACCCAACAGCCAGTGCTGTCGTACTTGCATGCATAAAATGATACAGTTTGAGTTTCATTGGGATGTCCATATAACATAATTTGAAATTTTTCAGCCCCGGTTAACTTTAGACGATTTTTTGGTTGTTTGTTTATAATGCTATCGAAAGTTTAATATTATGGCTTTCAAGGCTTCCAGTTTCTAGCGTGTCATTTGTAAGATAGTTTACTTTAATCATGATATATCAAATAACTGTCCCTTTGGTATTGTCTGCCTCTTTATTATAAAGTAAAAAACAGTTCAAATTATACTTCAGTTTACTTTGAATTTTCAATCAAACATAACATCATTATAATGTTATGTTGGGTTGAAAATTCAAAGTAATTTATACATGTTATGTAGATTGAATTATGATCCTGTCAATGAACAAAACGACAGTGAGTCTCAAAAAGAAATAACTATTTGTTCAATCTGAATGACTTTTACTGTCAATGACTGAATGTCTGTTTGTTTTGCTCACACATTGTTGTCAATATGACGGAATTCTATGCGACTGTCATACAAGTGAGAGGTTTAGCTAGCTTTAAAACCAGGTTAAATCCACCATTTTCTAAATAAGGAAATGCCCGTACCAATAGCTATCAAAGGTACCAGGATTATAATTTAATACGCCAGACGCGCGTTTCGTCTACATTAGACTCATCAGTGACGCTCAGATCAAAATTATAAAGCCAAACAAGTACAAAGTTGAAGAGCATTGAGAACCCAAAATTCCAAAAAGTTGTGCCAACTTTCATAAATACGGCTAAGGTAATCTATTCCTGGGATAAGAAAATCCTTAGTTTTCCGAAAAATTCAAAGTTTTGTAACAGGAAATTTATAAAAATTACCATATAATTGATATTCATGTCAACACCGAAGTGCTGACTACTGGGCTGGTGATACCATCGGGGACGAAACGTCCACCAGCAGTGGCATCGACCCAGTGGTGTAAATAGTTATCAAAGGTACCAGGATTATAATTTAATAAGTCAGGAATATGACAGTTGTTTTCCATTCGTTTGATGTGTTTGAACTTTTGATTTAGCCATTTGATAAGGGACTCTCCGTTTTAAATTTTCCTTGGAGTTCGATATTTTTGTTATTTTATTTATTTCAAACGTCCAATTTGCGAGAATTGCGGGAGACTTATACTATGACGTCATATTTAGTGTTTTGAAAAAAAGACAACTCTTTTTTTGAAAACAAATGCGAAAAA